GGTGGCCTCTGACCTTTCCGCGAGCTGAGAAGACGGCGGGAGGAAAAAAGGCAGAGACAACGCTGGGCGCCCGGCTGTCCCTCCGCTGACGGCGGGTAATGCTCGGACAGCGAACCGGCGGTGGGGGGGGTGCCCGGGCCTCCCGGGCGACGGCGAAGGCGGAGTCCCGGCCCGGCCGGGGAGGCTGGCTGAGAGGCCCCCCGAGCTGCCCGCCAAAGTAAACAAGGCCGCGACGTGCGCTGCGCACTTACCGGGAGCTGCGGCCTCGCGGCCGCTGAGCCCGGACGAGCCAGACCGGGTCAGGCCGGGCCAGAGGGACTCGATTGGGGAGAAGCGGCGGCAGAGGCGGCGGGCCGACGCCGGTCAAGCCCGTGCTGCTTCCTCCAGAATAGTCGTCCCCGCAGCTCCGGAAGTACTTGGCGCCGTTGCGTCACTTCCGGATCGGGGTCGACCCACGGTCGCTCAGGTCGCGACTGGCTCCTGGTTAGAGGGCCTCTTTAGCGCCGCCTCCTTGCAATTTAGCGCTCTGACCCATAGTCTGACTAGGGTACGGCAGGTGCCGACCGCGTCTGGTGCCACCATTCGCCTACCAGCGTCTCCCGTTGAGATGTTCTTAACCAACGCGTTTCTCACCGCCTTGTCATTTCACTGTGTACTCCGGGATCGGGCACGGAGAAGACATCCTGGCGTCGGTGGAATGTCTAAAGAACCATTGTTTCCCGGCCGCTATCTGGTCTGAGGGGAGCTGGGCCGGGAATTTCTGCCTACACCCCGAGGCGGTCGCCGGGTGGCCCCAGAGCCGCAACCATACCACGCTTTCGCTTCCCCCGCCGCGGCCTCGTTCGCCGCCCAGTTCGACTTACAGTCACCGTGCAAGGTTGCATCTTAACTGCCTTGCTTGCAGTTTCTTTTCACACTATAGGAGTTGTCATCATGACTTCCAGTTACCTTCTGGGACCGGTTGTCAAATGGTGTGGCTAGAACTCAGATTGTTGCTGCACCACAGTGGAAATGCCAATGTGAAGCCGCTGATGTTAGGAAGGCTCCAGGGTGTGCAATTCCATAGACAACAAATCAAATCATTTCCAACCATACTGGACTCGCGTATATACGCATTTAAGACACCTGTGCTGGCCGGTCGCTGTGGCTCATGCCTGCATTCCCTGCATTTTGGGAAGCCAAGGTGGGAGGATCGCTTGAGCCCAAGAATTTGATGTAGTGAGACACCTCCTTCTTTCTACAAAAAACAAAAACAAAAACAAAAAAAACTAAAAATTAGCTGGGCGAGGTGGCACACGCCTGTGCGTCCCAGCTACTCAGGGGGCTGAGGTGATATAGGATTGCTTGAGCCGAGGAGGTCGAGGCTGCAGTGCGCCGAGATTGCACAACTGCAGTCCAGCATCGGTGATAATGGACCCTGTCACAAAGCAACAATAACAAACCATACAATGTAGAAAGCCATTAAAAATCATGCCGGGTGGCCGGGCACAGTAGCTCACGCCTGTAATCCCAGCACTTTGGGAGGCCGAAGAGGACAGATCACGAGGTCAGGAGTTCGAGACTAGCCACACCAGCATGGTGAAACCCCGGCTTTACTAAAAATACAAAAAATTAGCCGGCATGATGGCAGGCGCCTGTAGTCCCAGCTACTTGGGAGGCTTAGGCAGGACAATTGCTTGAACTCGGCAGGCGGAGGTTGCAGTGAGCCGAGATCGCGCCACTGCACTCCAACTCGGGCGACAGAGTTTAAGACTCCGTCTCAAAAAAAAAAAAAAAAAAAAAAAAAATTCCGAGTGGACTGCTCTGCCTGTGGAGTAGCAATTCTTTTTTTTTTTTTTTTTTTAGGCAGAGTCTTGCTCTGTCGCCCAGGCTGGAGTGCAGTGAGAGAGCCGCTATCTCAGCTCACTGCAACCTCCGCCTCCCGGGTTCAAGTGATTTTCCTGCCTCAGTCTGCCAAGTAGCTGGGACTACAGGCGCGCACCACCGCGCCCAGCTAATTTTTTTTTTCTTTTCTTTTTTTTTTTTTTTTGAGACCGAGTCTCGCTCTCTTGCTCAGGCTGGAGTGCAGTGGTGCGATCTCGGCTCACTGCAAGCTCCGCCTCCCGAATTCACGCCATTCTCCTGCCTCAGCCTTCCCAGTAGCTGGGACTACAGGCGCCCGCCACTACGGCCGGCTAATCTTTTTGTGTATTTTTAGTACAGACGGGATTTCCCTGTGTTAACCCGGATGGTAATTTTTGTATATTTAGTAGAGACAGGGTTTTACCATGTTGACCAGGATGGTCTGGATCTCTCGACCCCGTGATCCGCCCTCCTCGGCTTCCCAAAGTGCTGGGATTACAGGCGTGAGCCACCGCTCCTGGCCTCCTTTGTTTATTTACTTCTTTAATAAACTTGCTTTCACTTTACCAAAAAAAAAATAAAATAAATCATACTGGGTGGTGGGGTATGGTGGCTCAAGCCTGTAATCCCAGCACTTTGGGAGGCCGAGGCAGGTGGATCACTTGAGCCTGGGAGTTGGAGACCAGCCTGGGCAACACGGTGAAACCCCATCTCTACAAAAAATACAAGTTAGCTGGATGTGCTTATATACCTACTTAGGAGGCTGAGGTGGGACGATCACTTAAGACTCCGGAGGTGGAAGCTGCAGTGAGCAAGGGATCCGGCCACTGCACTCCAGCCTAGGGGACAGAGCCTGAACCTGTCTTCAAAAAAAAGGGAAAAAAAAATGCCGTACTAAGGCACCTATTGACAAAGAAAGGTATTTGGGATATACTCAAGTGATAAAAATAGGATAGGGGCCAGGCGTGGTGGCTCACACTTGTAATCCCAACATTTTGGGAAGCAAAGGTGGGTGGATCGCCTGAGGTCAAGAGTTCCAGACCAGCCTGACCAACATGGCAAAACCCTGTCTCTACTAAAAAATACAAAAATTAGCCGGGCATGGTGGTACGTGCCTGTCATTCCAAGTACTCGGGAGGCTGGGGCAGGAAGAATCACTTGAACCTCGGAGGTGGAGGTTACAGCGAGCCAAGATTGCACCACTGCACTCCAGCCTGGGC